CATTACTCACCTCACCCAAGTTCTTCCGAGATCATGAAGATGTAATCTGTATCAGAAAGAAGGGATTTATAAAGAAAGTCATACCTCCATCGCTTCAGTACAAGGTGCTATCCAGGGCACATGCACACTATGGTCACCCAGGTATAACACAGATGCTGAAACTAATCAGTCCACGTTACTATTGGCCGAATGTCATCAACGATGTTGTAGAGTTTGTTAAACATTGTGATGTTTGTCAGAAAGCAAAGACATACAACCATAAAAAGTTTGGCTTGTTAGGTGACTTACCTTCATCAAAAGCTCCATTTGACATGTTATCTATGGACACTGTCTCTGGAATGCAAAGATACGGATCTACTAAAGGCTACCTTCATGTCGCCATCGATCACTTTTCTAGGTTTGCTTGGTGTTTCCCTTCATATAAATAATGACAATTTCATAGTTATAACTGCTTCTAATGTATTTTAAGTTTAAAACAATAAAATGGCAAAACCATATTTGGGACAAGACTATGTCTCGAAGACTCACTACTAAGCAATGCATTTTCGATAAAATTAACCTATCCAATTTCGTAATTTCTCTCCGTTGCATGTCGGCCGGGTTGAATTTTTGTCGAAGCATAACAAAAATTTCCTGTTTGAAAAAATAATCGTGGCTATTGCATCGTCCAAAATTATTTTTTTCGTTTTGCACAAACAATATACAGTTTAACCTGATTATAACATCATCGGATGTAACGACAACCCTAATATAACGTCTAATTTTTATCGGTCCCACGATCTTATTATACTAGATAATATTAAAAAACCTACTTGTAACGACATAAAACTGTCATATTTGAAGCACTCCCAAATTTACAAAATTAGATTACAAATTTTATTTAACAAAGAAATACTACATGTTCGGTCCTAGGGTCAGAGTCCACTTCCTAGAATGACTGTAGGTGATACTCTCATCACCTGACTTCGGTTTGCCTGTTTGTAGAGAGAGTCGCCATTTTGTATTTTATTTTGACTCGGTTCTCGGTCCCCGAGTACCTACAAGTCTGGTTTATTTATGAGCACATGATTTGGGCACCTAATACTCTATACCAAATTGCAACTCCTGACATGTACTCCTTCATACCTCTAAACTGGTAACACAGCAAGCAGTACGATTTTATAAACAAGACATAGCCTTGTCAAAAAAGGAAAAGTTGAACTAAGAAAAAATTAGGATAAGTAGAACAAATTTAAAATGCAAAATTATGGCTTAGAGAGAAATGTTCAATAAAATATCAAAACAAAAGCAGTTTACAGTATAATAAATAAAATGTCATCTCATTAACAATAAAAAGGAAGATAGAAATCTGGGTTTATATTAAATAAACTCTTTATAATGCAAAAATTCTTAATTCCAGAAACATCAAACAAAGAAAACAAAATACTACACTCCTCAAAAGTGAAATTGCAACACCACAAATGAATTCTCATAGCCACATGAAAATTGCAGGACCAGTAAAAGTGACAGAGATATGCAAATGATTAAGTTTGCACAGGTATCAGATCACATGGTATCCAGTTTTGGACTAAAAAGACCAGCAGCTGGCTTGAGCTGTAAAGGTTATCAGTAGTGATTTGTGGCAGCTAAACTTCTGAAGGAGGTTAGAAAATGCCTTAGAAATGACATCTAGTTCAACACCACCAGTTAACAGCTGTTGAATGAGTTAAAAGTGGAAGATATTGGATCTCACAGCGATCAACAAATAAGCAAGAAATGAGAAAATTATCATCCAGGCGTTAAACAACGTACAAGTATCGCTATAAACTACTAGCACTTTCGACGAAACTATTTTCATCTTCTTCAGGCAGATGAAAACGGTTAATATCCTTTTATCAAATAACGATTTCGTATTACTCTAACAGCAAAACAGCTTTGGAATATAACTAAAAATTGGAATATAACTAAAAATCAAACTAAATAGAGAGAACTTGAATAATACGCACATGGTGCCAATGCGCATGTGCAAAAATATTTTTACATGAATGTGGAGCTAGCGACAATATCTTATAGCCCTGCTATAGAACTTTTCTGGCAAGCTCTGTGGTGTCTTCCTTTCTTTATATCCTCCTGATGTTCTGCGATACGGCAAGCGAGCATTCTTGTTTCTAGGCTATTTTTTCAGCCAAAAACGAATGAAGAGAACTAGCCACTACGACCATTAGTAAACAAAAGGTCACATCCCACTTACCACCTAGAAAAAGCCTTTGCAAGTTTCTACGAGAGCTACTTCCGGAATCACCGCATGTCACTCCTTCCTCTATAGATGCCAAAACCATCATTAATTCCAACATGGCAAAAGCACATGGCAATACTAGCATGTTCTACAAAATGGACGTGATATCCCTGTACCCAACCGTTCCTGAATTTGAAGCTGTAATGCTAGCCAACACCATGCTCCTCAGAAAAGGTTTTACGGTTCAACAAGTGGTAGACATTTGTGAAGCGTTGATCTTCATCACCAAAAACAACTATTTCCACTTCAACCAGAAAGTCTATTTACAGAAGCAAGGAGTTCCCATGGGCTCTCCTCTCTCGTTATGAGAGACGTGGAACAAAAAACTTTCAAAGCTCCACTTGCTATATGTTACCCATCACTATACTTGCGCTATGTAGATGACATTCTACTAATATGGGAAAATTCAGAAGAGGAGTTTATCCAATTTATGCAGCAACTTTCAAGCATCCATTCCACCATCAATTTCACATGGGAAAAGGAGCAGGATCAATCTATAACATTTTTGGATATGCGGATACAGAAGTCACTAGAAGGGTCACATTTTACAGTGCATCATAAGTCCAACATGATCCCCTATATTATTCCAGCTGATGCATTTCAACTATCGCAGTATGTCAATGCCGCCATAGCGGCTCTTATCAGAAGAGCGATGCTACTTCCCTCATAACAAGCCCTAATAAAAGTCGAATTGGAAATCGTAAGAACGGCATTACATCACGCTGGATTCACAAATGCCAAATTTACACATGTACTACATAGGGTAAAAGATTCCCTTTTCCCATTTACCACACTACACAGCAAAAAAGAAATGTCTAGAGTACAATCAGCGTTGCCATACCTAGGAGCATTGTCCATACTTATTAGCCGTATTTTCTGGCAATACAACTTTACTCTTCCTTTAACTCCCCTACCCAGCCTATGCAGGAGCATATGCAATGATCGGGATAAAGTCAACGTTTTAGAAAAATCGGGAATATACACAGTGCAACTGGAAAATCCAGTAACGGGGATAATTGAGAAGTATATAGGAGCAACAACAAGAACGCTCACTTGCCGTAACGCAGAACATCAGGATGATATAAACAAAGGAAGACAGTCCACAGAGCTTACCAGAAAAGTTCTACAGCAGGGCTATAACTCATTATGGTCAAAAACAGCATTGCTCAAAAGCTGTAATAACAGAAGAATTACATTTATTTGGGAAGCGCTCCTCACAATGACCACAGATGCACACTCAACTTGCCCAAAATATGGGTTACTTTATACCAGCGTTTAAACAGCAAAAAGCGCCAAGAGTCGCACAATTAGTACGATCGCTCCTCAATGCATATGCTGCTAGTCATGTGGATTTAAGATATTTCAAACGCCTGCAAAAGCTTGTTGCACGTGACCAACGGAATTACCGGATGTTATAATTTAGAAATTGACAAGAAAAATTTTCCATTTTCTATTTGGAACACTCTGCATATTATAATTTTCAAATTTTGTTCTTTTTCACCTGAGGATGACGATATTATACTCGTTGAAAGTACTTGCAATATAAGAAAAATCGTATTAACGCTGAACTCAGTGCTTATTATCAAGAAGCTAAAATAATTATGTTACACATAAAAAAACTAAACTAAAATGTCAAAGGTTTGAACCTATATTGAATAAATTTTATCCAATTGGCTATTGTCACTCGGAGACCTGAAACTTCCAAAGACTTATACGCTAAACACTCAATTTAAGGGCCCAATTTTTGGAAATGCTTGAGAATTAAGTATTATTATTGGAATGGTTTCTGTTAACACTATGTGCTCATCAAGTTTTGTTTGAATCGAAGACCCAAATATCTGGCCCACTCCTCATTAGCAATAGGAATTATTTTTGAATAATTTTTTTATGAATAATTCCAAACAACACATTTGATTACAATGCATAAATGGTATTTCACATGTTCTGTCATGTCAAAATTTTTGTTTTAGTCTACTGTAAAAAAGTAACCCCAAATTTTGTCATTCAATAAAATACCCCAATGTGGAAATGTTGTGCAGCATTGCACAAAACTGTTGGTTCACAATGTCTCTTCCCACTTTTCTGCCTAAACTTGCCACATTACATCATGAAACCGCTAGGTGGTGTGGTGCACAGGAGCTAGACATTCTGCTATTTTTCTTGTGTGTGCTTTGTGATTCAATTTCATGCTGAATGTCGAAATAGACAGTGGTTTTTATCACCTCATGCTATCATCAGTATTATATTTTTATCATCACTTTTATAAAAATATCACCAAGTAGCAATTTTGACACTATGCACCATAACCCCTGCTTATGTATATATTTCTACATATGAATCATTGACTATATACTGTACATGCATTAATGCATATATGGAGCATTTTGGAGATTATACGTCACAAAGAAGTGGAGACAGACAAGGTAGGGTCATATCAAGTGAGATTACACAACAAAAATTTTACTCACTATTGGAACTTACAATATGTTCAAAAATTCATCCCTACCCACAAAAAAGCTTTATAGGCTTAGGCTTTTGCCTGTTTTTTTGAACTTTTAGAAATAATAATTGAAAATTATAGTTATATTGAATTATTGAATGAAATTATAATATTGAAAAAAAAAATTAAGTGGACTGCCTTCCAGGTCAACTTAATCTCCTGTTTGAGTGTTGGGAAAGTAATGCAAAAGACTTTGCCCGCTTTTCTCTTCAACTTTTTTAGCATTAAATATATAGTCCAACATTGTTGTATTTCTTCTTTTTGTTTCTGTTCTGTACTTTTTTAAATCCTTGAATATCAATCAAGTTAAAATTATTAAAAAAAAAAATTTGCAGGTCCTAAACAAGCAAGCAATCATTTGCTCCTATAAACAGTAAGGGGCGTCCATAAATTACGCCAGGTATTTTGGGGTGGGTGGGGGGTCAAGAATTTTTTATGATTTCTTACTTGGATAGGGGGAGTAATAGATTTTGTCTTACGTAATATTCTTATTTTTTTTATCTCGATGAGTAGTGGAGTTTTGAATTTGGCTCCAATTTGGCCATTTCTATTAAAAATGCTCGTTGTACTAAAGCCATCGTGTGTGATGTGATAAAATAATAATGCTAGCAGACTCATGCTCTACACATTTTTTTCATGGGAGAGAAGCCGTGTGGTGGTTTCTCTTTCTCTCCCTCTTTTTTGTTATTAGAATAAGTGCACTACTCCTATGGGTGTATAACACTAATAATACATAAACCAAAATACATGATACAAAGTAAACATAAAATTAGTATTCAGCTTTTAGTGAAAACTAATATGTAAAACTAGATATTAGGAATTATAAATAGTCTTTTCTTCCATGTTTTTTGAAAATAATTGAAAAAAGCATCAAACAGTGGCTTCTGAACAAGCTTAACGAGTGGACGTGGCCACCTGAAACCAAGCATACAGATTTCTAATTTCAGAATAAGTGTATGTTGATTGTAAATTGGACAATGACAGATCATATGGTCAATAGTGTCTAGGTTTTCTGTAGAGCAAAAGCAAGAGGCAGTTTCTGCCCAGTTATACATCGCCAGGTAGCTTATAAAATTATCATGAACAGTACGTAGCAGTAGCAAATGTTAAATCTCTAAGTGGTGATAAAGAACCTGCATTCAACACTTGGAAAATAAAGTCTTGTTATTCTACCAGTTTTACTGCTCAACCATTGTTGATTTTATGACTTTGATTAATGATGATGATGATAATAATAATAAAATTGTTAATAACTAAAAAATAGAGTTCTTAAAATAAATTGTTCATTCAAATTCATTAAATTTTTATATTTTGAAATTTGGTCACAAAGTCTTTTATAAATAATAGTACATGTAATTATATATTTTGAACCAAGGTTTTTAGGGTTTAATAAAAAAATTTTTTTTGTTAAAATCTTTTGTGTAATGTTCGCCCCACTTTTTTTAAGTTGTTTTGTGTTTTTTTATTCATATTTAAATTTGTTGTATTCTAAATTCCATTAGAATATTATATTCTAATGATAGAATGTAATTTGACACTCAAAGATAATTTATAGAACAAGCCGGAAACATTCGTGATTATTAAATGTTTTCCTTGGCAACATAAGAGGTTGTATGTGATATAAATTTATATTGAAATTCAAAATGCTCACCTGTTGCTAAGTGTATCAAGATCTCAACTGAAATCATAGGATATCAAAATGGACATTTAATTCAATCCCAACTGGATATGATTGATTTTAGGGCTTATATTTTTCAATTGTTTATACATTTGCATCACTTTTTCATATCAAAAACTTTCTGTCTTCTTTCTTTTTTATTTCAAAACAATATTTTAACATGAACTTTAGTGAGGGGATCAATTGCTTCATGACTATAAATGTTTATTGCAAGCAGCTAATCTGCTTCAACACAAAAGTATATGTTATTATATAAATAACACAGAACATTGGTTAATATATAGATAACAAGTCTTATTCTAAAGCACTAAAAATAAATATTTTCAGTTAAAAACAAGTAAAAATATACTCTCTTCCGACTTTGAGGATTCTACAGGTCAAAACTGGCGAATAAGTGACAAGGAACAAACTAAATTTTTATCATTACCATTTTTATTATATTATTGACACATTCCAAATGCATTTCGCCTTTTTTTCATTAGGCCTCTTCAGTGGATACATCCTTATATATCCTCCAACAAGTCTTATTCTATTACAATAACACAAAATTACAATTAATGCAGATAACACTACAGAAATTTAAGGACTAACTGATGACCCATGCAGTGTGCTCTACAGACACTGCTCAAACTGACTGAAATCTTTTTCTAAACATTATTAGAAAAAAAAGTTTGAAGATAAATAAATTTATAAAGTACTATTATATTATTTGCATCAAAATCCAAAGCCTTTTATGAAAAAAAAAATTAAAAATAACTCATGAGATAGAAATCATTGCCAATAATAATGGTAAATGTATCATTAAATAAAATTATGTTTTCCCTATCCCAAAAAAAAAATGTGTGAAGAAATGTTTAGTTGATTTTTATCTATTATAATTTTATTTTGTTTTGTTAAAACATTACAAAGTCACAAAATGCAAACTTATTTTAGTTTCAATAGGATAATTTTGAAATTATTCAGTCTAGTTTGTTTTAACTATATGTGACAAGATTAAAAATTTAGCAGATATACATACCTTCTCATTTAGATGTTGGAGGTGTTCTCTCTCAGAAGAAACAAACAAATATTCTTGTCTTAAATGATGTGCTAATTCTAGCAAATTCATTTCATTAGAAGAGCCCATGATGAGACTTTTCTGTTTCATTCTGTATTTTTCTATAAAATATTTGTTTAAATTTATTACTATGTTATGATATCTAGTACTCTAGTTATTATTATTATATAATAAATTACTTTTATTTTGACAATGGATAAAACATCATTGTATTTAAATAAAACAAATAATAAATGAAGTGCTTGTTTAAGAAAGCTAACAAGTATTTAATAGGGAATGTCTATAATTTATCTCTATTGATATAAAACTAAATCAATTACTGTTATATTTATTAATATATAGCTAGATTTCGTATCCAAACTCTCTGTGTATTCTAAATTCCCACTAGATAATTATGCTCATTATAATAATCAAATCAAATAATCCTGTATTAAAAATTTCTTCAAAGAACATTAGTGAAAACTTAAAAGTTGCAACAATAAAAATGGAAAATAGTGCGCCGTCCTGTTCCCAGAATCTGTTTTTGTTCATTCCAATAATGTTTCTGTTATATTACTGTTGTACCATTTTGAAATTATCACAAAATTTAAGTATAATCATACAAGATTATTCTTAGCTGTTAAGTAGGTTAACCAAGGTAATTTTAAGTACTTTTGAAGTCCTCTGTCCCATTTCCTTAGAGGAACTGCATAAATATAGGACCTTGCAGAAATGAGCAGTTCTTTTAACTTGTCCTGTATCTATGCAGTTATAATTTCATTACTAGTGTTACCACCCGTCCAATTTTCACCCAGACAGTCCAGGAATTGATTCGTTGTCAGGTAAACTATTAATTTTGTCTGGGAATTTCATATAAATTGTGAAATTATGATAAAACAAAGTTCTTGTGAATATACAGTAGAACCTCGATTATCCGCCCTAATTGGGGACTGGGGTTGGTCGGATAATTGAAAAGTCGGATAACCAAAAAGTATGAAAAAATCCATTATCAGTGTAGTATATTATGATATCCCATGTAATTAGTATATTAGTATATCGCTATTAACCTACTTTGCGTTGAATTTTCATCGATGTTAAGCCTAACAAAAATTTTTTAAAATAATAATCGTCGCTATTGTATCGTTAAAAATTACAAAATTAAGCTTCGTTTAAATACTGGCTCCCTTTCATGGTCGAATGAGTGTTGCCAGCTAAAACACGTAAAAATAATATTAAAGTAGCCAAGACATAGCCAAATATTGTAG